TATCTGTGTGGATTGGATAGAAATCTGCGTGAGAAGGCCCACCAGCAGGGTGATCTTGGGGGATTTGGGAGTCCGTTTTAGTATGCTTTGTTCCGTACACGTTGATTAACCGCGAGTTTTATGTGCTGGGCAGCAGGAATTAAAAGGAATCCACCCGTAGAGAAAAATCATTGAAATCTCCTGCATTCATGTGTTTAGATCACCCGTATTTCTGGAACCTGAGGCCAGCATATTAACACTAAGGGTAACTTCACTTCACTGTTGATTTAATAAATTAAAGAAAACAACATCTTTTCTTCTATAACGATTAAGGTTGTTAACAAAAATGATTAACAATTGTGAAACAGGAGTTAAAATAAGTATTTCTATGTGATTGTTTTGTTGTTGACCCAGGTCCTAAATGTATGCACCTAACAACCTCCTACCATGCAGACTGTACTTCGCTTGCCACGTGGTTTGACATTGAGTGACCCCTGTGTTTGGAGTAATGAAGAACCCCCCAAGTGCACATTTATAATTTGAGCTGAGGTCCTTGTGGGTGATGTTTCGGCTTCGGGTGTGAGTTCCTTCCTTCGCAGTCCTTCAATGTGGGGACAGCGACCAGGACAGATAGGTTCTGGAGCAACTGCAGGATCTGCTGTAGTGGTGCCTTTGAAAAGCAGTGTGCTTGGAGGTGGTGGGCAAGAATAGAGTAGCAAACGCTCATCAGGGAACCATGTGAGTCTTGGCTATAGGGAGTTGCTCTGGGACTTTCAGAAAGACAGCAACATTTTCACCGAATCCTTCAAAGTTACATCAGGGCCACCCAGAGTTCATTGACTTCTCAGGGTTTTGTCGGAGAACAGAGTTTTCCATTATGGAGAATGTTATTGTGGGTTGGTCGGGACATTGCTTTACAAATTTGATCAAGGTACATTTAAGATGCAGACGTCAATCAGTCAAGTGTAATGTATCTTGAAATTGATTATAAGGTAGTATTATAAACATAACTGTGGTTGGTTTTTCCATCCCTCAGGTTGAATTGCCAGCCAATAATTTCTTCTTGTTCAAGCAGCTTGATTTTCAGTAAAGCCGTGGCGCAGATTAAGACGGGGTATTGATTGCTTTTACATATGGGTTTTTAATGAGTGTAGAATGAGATTTTCTAAGGGCTGCAATTTAATTATTTCCATTGCATCATTTTATTGTCTACAAAGCCATAGGGGACACCCTCAAACTTGCCTTCTCCCAAACCCAAAAAATATTGAATAAACAGAGAAAAGCTCTACATCTCCACATTATAGACATGAAACCAGCAAATGTTGTTGTGTTCTTTTTTCTGGTGAGGGATAAGTAAGATAAATTTGGTGTCAAAATAAATTTCCTGTTGATCAGTTTATGGATTAAAGAAGCAATTTCATCCCGGAAACATTAATCTTTATTGAATAGTGGGTTATGATATGTTGTCGAAATGTAACATAAATTTTTGAATTTTGGTGCCTAATGTTGACCGAAGAAAAGATGGTTTTGTAGTCTCACCCCCTCCTAAAAACAAAGATTGAGACTTTTCCTGCTTTCCAGTGAATGCAAAATGACTTGTGGGAATTCTTATGGAATGCAGACACTTGGAAATCCGTTAATTTTCTCTCCCGTCTCAGGGGAAAATGAGGGAATGGTGCACGACCATTCAAAAATATGACTGGGTTTCTAACGATACAAAGCTTAATGCAAATGGGTGAAGTGTCCCTTTAAGTTTCTCGTTGTTTCAGCACTAATGAGATGTTACACAAATTTGGATTTTTTTGCAGATTCTCAATGCCATGTCTGTCGAAGTTGGCCACCTGTCTAACTGATCTGCACCTTCAACAAAGCCCTCTTATGGGCCACATTGTCAATATTCTGAGTCAGAGGTTGTCGTCTATTGATGACCCCAGGTTGGTCATGAGACACATATACAAATATAAATACAAATACAAGTGCCTCATACTGTTTATTTACCATGTGGTCATGTTTTCCCAGGGTCCTAACTACACTGATGATTAGCGTGGCAAACCTGGCGTCACCGAAGCTTCGGGATGCCCTCATTAACAAGGCAGATCAGCTTCTAGACCCCACGAATACCTCAACTTTCAACGACTCGCGGAGAGTGGTGCAATTCCTGCGCAGCATCAGGAACATTCACCGGCCTCTGCTGGAGAAGTGCAACAAGATAATCTCGCAGCACATTCACACTATGGATGTAGATGATATTAGCATCATCGCGGGGATGTATCTGTTCCTGCAGATAAGCACCTTTGACTTCAGGCTGGCTATTAAAAAAAGGCTACATGAACTGGTTGATTCATGCAACGATCCTCTCTCCTTCACTAAACTGTTTCTCTGCCTGGCTCCGATAGCCAGCGAGGAGACCATTGAAAGGTTTGTGTCATTATCAGTGGAAATCTAAACCCTTTACAGTGATTCTTGAGTCTCACAGATCTCCCATCTGGTTTCATCCCTCTTAGGTTGGAGGAACTTGCCTTCCTGTGGGTGGATGACCTCGATGTACAGCAGACTGTGGGTATGGTTGAAACTCTAGACTCGATTCGGAGCAAGAATCATGCCTTACTTCAAAGGTGAGTCCATATTTCTGCCATAGAGGACCTTCGCAGCTTAACAAGCAGATGTATCGATATATGTCAGCTAGCAAGTAATGAGTTGTAATGTCAGTAATAATTGCAGTACAGGAATGACAAAAACATTTTTTTGAGGAACACTCAGCATTCATTCTTGACCGTGGAAACCCGTTTAGGAGCTCTTCTGGGGCTTTTGATTGTGTCACATGATCTTCCTCAGCAGACACACTTTAAGGGATTTCCTTGCCCATATTGTCTTAGGTTGAGATACCGATATATTGGCCAAAACGCAGACACATCGGTATTGTATTGGTATTTGTATGCAACTGACATTCCCGGTGTATATAATGCAGAAAAAAATACTTGTAAAATGTTGGCGTCACTGCGTCAGAGTAAAAGAGAAGAAGCAACTCTCAGCAATGTCAACTAGAATTGTTTGACAATGTACATGTTGAATGATTTAACGTGTTAAAGAATATTTAACTGCTTTTTAAAATATTCTTTAATAAAGATATTTGTTTAGGAAAACAGTCTTATGAGGACTTTTGCCATATCAGTCATTCTGGAAAAGGTCATTCTAGTTTCAAACCTCATTATATCGGGGGATCCTGATAGCTCGGCTGGTAGAGCTGGCGCCCCCATGTACCAAGGCTGAGTCCTTACTGCACCGGCCATGGGCTCAACTCTGACCTGTGTCATCCCCACCCTGTCACTCTTCAACCATCACTATCGATTAAGGGCAATAAAAACCCCCAAAATATTAAAAATACAAAAAACATCACTATATCAGCCACCATATTGGTAATTAGTAAATCTTTGCCTTCTAAAATCTGTATCGGTCTCTTCTTGACCTTGGAAACATATCAGTTACCTAGTTTCATAAAGCTCTGGCAAGCTTATTTTTTAATCGTAAAAAAAAAATCCCATTTTGTCTTGTTAATAAATCATTTCAAATGTTGTGTATTTTGTTTTTTTATGTAAAAAGACAAATGTCCACACATATATTAAAGTATGTATTTAAATATTTCATAATATGTCATTATTTTCCAGATTTGCGTCAGCAATCGAATGCAGCCTTTCTCTCTACAAGCCATTGGAGGTGGCCCGTGTCACCCAATCCCTTTATCAGTTGCATTACAAGAACCCCGAACTCTTCAAAAAATTAAGACAAGTTAATATACAGTAAGTGTTAATTTAAGCTTTTTTTTTGCTTCACACTTAAATAAAACATAGACTAAAAACACTTTATGTTTCAGCCTTTTGCGCAAGACTGTTATCCCCCATGAAGTGACCGCGTTGGTTCGTGCACTGTCCCTGATGCCCTACTCACGTCTTGAAGAGGATGTGATCATACGAGTGGAAGCCATGGTGAGCCAGTGCAGTTTCACCAATCTCAACACCCTTGCTTCTGCCATCGGCAAGTGGATGCGTAAAGATGAATCATACAGCACCAATGCTCGCAGCAGGTACGTCAGTCTGCTTCAGGACATGACCAACTGCGGGCTGAAGAAGCTGCAAGCGATTGACCGACTGGACTTGTTGTTGGATGAAGTCAAGCCCATTTCGGGAGATTGGTTTGAGGAAACGCTTGTCGAAGAGACGGTAGTCATACTGCACAGGATGATTGACCAAATAAACTGGGCCAATTTGCCTGACTTGGGCTTGTTCTTGACCAGGATAAACCATCTCTGCCCTCTGCTGATGGAACGTATCGCCAGTCTGGCCATTAAAGACATTGACAAGGTGCTCTAAGAGACATCACAGCATTTTAAGTCTGTAATAATTAAACAGGAATTAACTGTGCTTTTCCTGTGTTTTTAAGATTCACCCCTCAGGAATATATAACATCATGCTACCCTTCTCCACCATGAATTATCATTCTGTACAAGTAGATGAGATGTTTGATGTTTGTATCCAGCGCATCACTCGCACCATCAGTAAGTGAATCCATTTACACATTTTGTTCTTTTTTAAGCTTACCGTAACACGTTTTCTCTGTGTTTGTAGGCTTCTTTGACCCACACCTGCTAGTTTACATTGTAAACTTAATGGCTAATGCTGACTATTTCCCCGAGGAACTAGTCAGAAAAATCTTCAGTGTAGACTTCCTGGCAAAGATGGATGCCCAACTAGAAAGTACGTCACCACTTCGCTGTTAATATGCATCGATAGCAAAGTTCACATCTTCAGTATACTTCTGTAAGCAGTTCACACTTGTTCAATAGGACTAATGTTCTCGCTAACTTCTTACAGCCCTATCTGATGTCCTCAACATACGGGCCAGAATACGGCTTAGGGACCTCAATCGCAACGTGTGTATCCAGTGTCCTGATCTCCAGGTGCCCTGGTTTCATAACGACTTCTGCCAGGAGATGCTAAAGAAAAGTAAAAAGATGCGCGGAAATTAATTTCTGGTTTTGGTGGGTTCTTATAGTGGGATTTAAATAAATCTGTACTATTAATTGCCTTTCCAAATGTTTTTCAGACAATATCTTCCTCAGTCCTGCGCAACAGCAAATCCACACACTCCTGGCTGAAGTTCTCGGAGGCATTGAATACGTTCAAGCAGCAGTTGTCACTCCGTATTTTTATACCATAGGTGAGTAATATTATATCATCTCCGTATAAAACACTGATTTGATGATGTTTCGTCTCGTTTTATTCTATTCTGTTCGGAAAGTCTTTGCACCTAAGAAAAGAAGCTCATATGACAGTCAAGTCAATTTACATGTATATATTTTTCGCTTTATAACTCCTAAACACAAGCTTTAAAGGTCCAGTGTGTAACATTTAGGAGGATCTGTTGACAGAAATAGATTATATCATCCAGAGTTGTATCCTCTCTAAACCACTTCTGTCACTCAGACTTTGAATCACCCCAACCATTCACTCATTCATTCTTCTTCCTGCTTTCCTTTCCTTTTTGTTTGTGTCAGTTTGTCTTAATGTCCCCGTGTTTCTGTTGTTGTTTGGTTTGTAAATATTCCTGTTATACAATAATAAAAAATAAATTAAATTAAAAGAAATGGAATATAATATTAGTATATTTTTATTAGTGTTTAATCACCAGAATATAGGAATTGTTGTGTTTTTGTTACCCTCGAATGGGCCGTTTATATCTTAAGACGCCATGGGTCGCCTTCCATGAACTACCATGTTTCTATAGTAGCCCAGAACGGACAAACCAAACACTGGCTCTAGATTGGGGCGTTTAGCATTTTTCCTTGAATTTCATGGCCCCTGTAGTTTCTCCTACACCGCCTGTTCTCATTCCCAGGTTGTCATAGTACTAGACCCTTAAGGTACGGTCACATTATACTTCTGTTGTACTCAGCCACAAAACAGGACACGATGTAGGTCACGTTTCTGATGCTCGAACTAAATAAATATTGATCAGAGCAGTGACAAACTATAAATGGTGTAGAAGAGCTATGCTACAGTTTCCACATCCACTTGGTTAAAGTTGAACAAAGGTGAACTCTCGCCTTAAAAAGGGAAAACGCAAGCTTGAATTCATCAGAAATGATTGTGAATTGAATATTTGTAGGATGTGAGGTTTAATGTGACCATGTTTTGTCCTTTCAGACTTTGAATGCATACTGGACAAAAACATGCAGCCGTTGCCCTACAGCGAGCCTAGCACACTGCTAGGAGAGGAGGTTCAGTGGGGTAAAGCATCACCGGTGAACATGGAGGATAAGCTGCCGCCTGGAGCTCAGCGGTACGGAGCAGAAAACAACCTGAGTACTAAAGATGAATAATTAGATGACCCAGAAATGTTTGACATTCTGTTTTTACTTGTCACCTAGAGTTGCTGTTGACTTTCTTGGTCGAAGGTCCTTCACCAAAAATGTTTCCCATTGTCTGGGTGAAATTGCTGTGAAGAAAAGGCACCTTGAAATTCTGGGATATCGCGTGGTTCAGGTGAGAATACATCATTTAAAGAGTGCATGTGTTACTGTGAATCTTTCACTGAATCATATTCACTGTCAGTGATATTGCAAAACACAATCAGACAGCAGAATCTTTTTTTATTTATTTATTTATTTTTATTACAGATCCCACACTTTGAATGGAACTCGATGGAGCTCTCAACAAATGATGCCTGGAAGGAATATCTTAGGAAGAAACTATTTAGCGAGCCTTCTGCTTGAAGGCGATACTTGTTGAAGACTGAAAGTAATGTTACATTCATTCACTTTGGTTCTGATTTTCAGAGTTGAATGACCGAACAGTTGCAAGTTTTAAGAATGTATACATCAAGTGCTCCTCTTTCTAGTGACTGAGCATGAAGTTGACATGAATCCACCTCTGTCATGTTAAGGGAGATTGTCAATTATGTGTTTTTGTATTCACATGAGTATTTTAAATAAAATTATTTGTTATCATTGTTGGCATAAATGGTGGGCTATCAGTGCTGCTCAACAGACTGAATTAATTTGCACATTTTAGGTAATTTATTACAACTAAAGATTAACATTTTGCACAGCTTTTGTGCCTTTTACATGCTGCTATGATCATAAAGTAAGTCAATATGGTGAGCCTCTGAAGGAGCCAAGGTTTATCCTCAACGTCCTTTCCAGTGAGCCAAGATGCGCAATGGCAGCACCCTGATTGTGTTTGATCTGAATGGAACTGAACTTTAATTGGTATCATTGGTAACACCTGTGTTTACCCTCTTTTATGTCAAAACGACTGCTGTGAAAAAGGTCTATTCACACAAAACAGCGATTATAGAGCTTTAGAATGTGAACATGAGCAGATATTTTCATTTTTAATTTAAGACTAAATTTCATCCTGTGTTTTGGACCTCTACAGCAGTGTGGCTTACATGTGTAACATATGTAGGCTCTTATTCATAAAATTAATAAGAAATGAACACTTGCATATCATTATACCAGAACCTTTAATCCAGTCTGTTCTGACTAGGCTCATACAGTTGTCATGAACATGCACATGGGCACAATAATTCTGCTCTTGAATAATCTGAACAATGAGTCTGTGGGAGATAATATTTTAATACTGAAGGGTTACAAAGTCTGGAAGAGGGACATAATACTCACAAATACTCGTATTTCATGTGTGGAAGAGGGGTGGCTGACGATAATGTCTGGTCCAAACAACAGTGACTGTTTAGATGCTGGTGACTTATGAGAAATAAGCCAATTAAGGTGTCTGATATGTTAAAAAGGAGCCACTAAATAAGAGCATGTACATAATATGTTTGCCTAAAGCAGTTAAGTCCTCTGTATGTCTCTGTTGTTACAGTTTGGGCATTCTGGCTGCATTCAGACGCATGGACACACAGGAGGCTCCAGCTGCATAACGCATCTCTTTAATCATGCCAGTCCACTGTTTCTTGTCATCTTCATACCTGGTAGGACAGTGAAAAACATGTTACTATAATGTACTGTACGAGCAGAGGTATAGGTATTAAAATAAGGTGAACGAGATGACATTGTTCGGTACCATGTGTATTTTAAAATATAGTGCAACAAAATGGACACGTACTGCCAAATGTCAGTGATTTCACTTGGGGCGCACTCTTTGTTCTCATTCTCCACCACGGCGAAGCCTCCTACAGCGTACAGCACCCCTCCACAGCTGACCAGGTTGACTGAACTCCTCTCCTGGGGAAACTCTGTGAAGGGTGACCACCTGCAACAAGATGCACTCAGCTGTATTAAAACTGATATTTCCAAGTTGTTGTTTTTTTGCTTAAGGAACTCAGATTTTTTGACTGTTTATTTTCCACACAGATTTAAAGCAGTGGTTCCTAACCTGGGGGGTGGGGCCTTACAAGACAATAAAAGGAATAAGACAGAAGATTGTGTATCTAATTTCTTTTTCTGGATGCTTCCTCTTGTTTAATACAAAAAACATTTTAATTGAAGCAATCTGAGGATGAAAAACTCTGTGACGAGGGGTCAAGAACCCCCCAAAAAGGTTTGGAAACGCTGATTTAAAGCACTTAAATACAGAAAAAAGCTACAACATTTATTGAACATTTGACTGAACCTTATTTGAACATGGTTAAGTTATATTTAAAAATAAAAATAGCCATAAATAACTTGCAATCTAAATGATACATGCTTTCCTCAAAGAGATGTTAGATTGGAAATAAATATTGGTATCAAATGATAAACAATAACCAGCCATGCACACCACTTTGAGGAGCTTGTACAAATTGTAGTAATAAACGTACTTGTTGGTTCCGAAGTCATAGGCTTCACATGCAGCTGTGAGGCCCTCTTCATTGACTCCCCCAGCTACAACAATCTTCCCGTTGTGGACAACTGCACCAAACATGGATCTGGGTGTCTTCATGGAAGCCACCTCCTTCCACTCTGACCTCTTGTGGTTGTATGCAAACATCTTATTGGTCGCTTTACTTTACCAGTAAGACAAAAATGATTCCCAAGAAAGTTTAATGTCATGTGAAAATCTTATTTTATATATAAAAATGTCTTGGCACTGCAGTCTTACTTGTCATCTGTTTTGCCTCCGATACAGTACACCAGCCCGTTCTCGGACACCACAGAGTGGCCGTGGATTTTCAAGGGCAACTTTTTTGTTTCGCTCCACTTCATTTTTCTACAAAGTGCAGATAAAGTAAAGGGTTCAACAATAAATATTGTTACGTAAGACAATGAAAATATCCCAGCGGTCGGTGTGTTGAACTTACTCGGTGTCATAGCACAATACAGTGTCATGAGACTCATCGGACTGTAAATCTTTTCCTGCTACAGCAAAGATGAGATTTTCAAATTCCCCCATTGCAAACAAACACCTGGGGGAGGGCATGGGTGGCAGAGCGATCCATTCAGCAGTGAGACTGTCCAACTGAAAGACACATTTAAAGGTATATTTTAAAGCCCAAATGACTTTTGATGTGTTCAATACATCTGCAATGTAAAAGGAAATGTTTATACCTGGTAGAAGTAACACTGCAGTGGGTTTTCTTTGTCCTCTTCATCTACAAACAGCCCCCCCAACACATACAGATTGTTCTTCTTTGACCTCAGACTGACGTGGTTTCGGGGGACCGGCTCTGCCATTGCAGCAAGAAGGCATTCGTTCTCCTGGGCGTCATAGGCCACGACAGCAGTGTCATTGATCATCACAACCACGTCTTTGGCATACATGCCATATCTGCGGTTATCGTTCAGATAAACAGGCAATTTTCCCTCCTCTCCTTCCTCGTCATCTTGCCCCTTTTTCCTCTCGGGAAGCTTCCCTCCAAAGGCTTCCTTTATGACTTTGATTTTTTTGAGGAGCTCAGGATTAGTCTTAATGAGGTCCTCCTTCTCCACCTTTTCCTTGAAGTACTCCTCTGGGAGTAAACGGAAACGAACACAGTCAAAGGCCTCTTCTAAGGACGTCATACGTTTCTCTTTGTCTTTCCTGATCCACCTCATGAGGGACTCAAACACTAGCTCCTCTTTTTCTACATTCAGTGCATCCGCTCCAATAATGGCAAAGAGTTCAGGTGGAGCGAGCTCTAAGAAATCCTCATCCATGGCTATGGTCTCAAACCGATCTGCAATGTAATCTCGAGCTGCAATTGCCAGTCTGGCAGAGTTCAGCATCAGTCCCAGCCTGTAGATGGCAAGGCAGTTTTTCTTTGACAGCTTCTTCTGGAGATAATTCACACAAACTGTGAACACCGAGGGGATCTGGAAGCGATTGGCAACGGCCAAAATATCCTGCACGTTGTCCTCGTTGATGTCAATCTCTGCCGAGTACATGTAATTTACAATCGCCTCCATAACATTGGGGTCCAGGTTCTCCAGAACAACCTCCTTTTTATCCGTTTCGTTCCCGTCCGCTGAGAAGAACAGCTCCCGGAAATAAGGAGTGCAAGCTGCCAAAATGAGCCGATGGCAGGGGATGCTTCTGTCTCCAACTTTCAGGACACAATCGATCAACTTGTTCTCATTCAGAAGCTCTTTGAGTCCATCCTGCAGCAAAGTGGTTTGAAACAGACGGAGGTCTTCCCTCAGGCCTTGGGGATCCATTCTTGTAGGACAGGAAGTGGATGGAAGTGGGAAAGTTCACAACAGACTGTCGTAGCTGGTGAAGACGAAGAACTATAGGCAGCCAGGTCCGAAGCCACTCCAATATAACAGTGCCCCTCTAAATATAGCCAAACAGCCCATCCATGAAGAATTCGGGTTGGCCAAATCGGAAAGCTCACACAGCTGTCAGAGAGTAAACTGTGGAGCCTTGTCACCCTAGTGATTAGTAACAACATTGTTGTCTGGCCACACAAAAATAAACTATGATCTTTTTCATTTTATTTACTCTATACTAATAATCTGTCAATTGAATAGGGTGAAATAAACAGTTCAAAGTACAAAAAAGAAAAAAAGGTTTTACACAGATTTGGTTGGCATTTACTACAATCATGTGTATTCCAGGGACATCTACATGTGGAGTGAGTCACGATTCACTGATAGTAATGACCACTACAGTGTGAGTCAGTATTTGTGTGTGAGACGTGCACAGGAGAGTTATCTAACAAGTAGACAGGGTCAGTCAACAGCTGCTGCGACAGGAGGTGACAGTTTGTCCTCTTTTTAGACTTTTAAAATACTCCAGTGCATTGTGCAGTTATGTATTTAACCTGAGATCATTGTGTCCTTTCCACATACATTGCATATATGACACAGTACAAACCTACTGTACCAATAAAATGTACTCTCCAATATGTATTTAAATACATTTATTAACTTTAAACAATACAAACTGCATTATATTTCACATTCAATTCACTACAAGGAAATGTTTTAGACAAATATTCCACAATAAATGTCATATACATGTAATTCAGTTCACTATGAATAAACTGGACAATTTGTAACCTGACCTATAAATAAATAAACTGTAGCCTTCATAATCACAATATCTACATAGAGTACATAAATGTTAATCATGTTTCATGTTATTTCAGCCCATAACTTCCCACAGTCCTTGAAGAGTGAAGCCATCCTTCAGCTTTTCAATGGCGAGGCCCAGCTCCTCAGAGAAAACCGGCTCACGGTCTTGTTGCTTAGGAACAACAAGAAACAAATGAAAAGAGCCCAAAATGTTTCACAACACAACATACTATATATTCATATATCAGGTGATAACACTGATTGTGAGACTTTACCTTATTTCCATCAGCAAAGTAAGCCTGTGGACAAGCAACACACACATTTTATATGTTTAATCAAAACAACCGTATCTGTAATAATAGATTATTGTTGTCTGATGAGCACCACTCCCAACAAACAAGAGCACTAGGCAACATAAAGTCATGTTTGTTCATCATGCTGAGGCTCATGAGCTGACAGCTATTCTGAGAGTCTGAAAACTAAACCACTGACTCCCAGAGGAGCGGCGGGTGTAAGGGTGGCCAACGGGCACACTCACAGTGAAAGCATCGGTCTGCTCATCGGGTTCGATTTCCACGTCATCAGGAGGCTGTTCCACTGTGAGTTCTTCCAACGGCTGGGGCTGAAAGGATTGTTAGGACAAACAGTGCTATGACAACAACTCATCAGCTGAACTGATTAAAGAGCCAACAACAATGGAGAATTCAAAACATTTATGGGAATGTAGGTTTTAAAAAATCTGCTGTTAGAGTGACAGTAATTCAAAAATGGTTTCCAGTTTCAACAGTTTACACTTTCTCACATGTTTTATTCGTTATACTATTGAGGAGTTCATGTTCAATACCTTTTCTTCCATTTCATAGTCCACTCCAAAGATGGGGTTGGCAGAGTACACCTTATGCAACGAGTTGATTTCCTTCAGTGCGTCCTGAAGCTTATCCACAGGATCAATCTTAAACCCGAGCACATAGCCACCACTCTAAAAACAAAAGGACATACAGAGTATATTTGTGTATTACAAGCAACAAAAAGCAGTATTTATTAGTATCAAGTCATTATATTGTGATCAGTTTAAGTGAATGTGACAGCAGAGAAAAACAGGTTACCTGGCGTGAGCTCTCGATCACCAAAGCCAAGCCGAACTTTGAGTCTCTTATTCTGATAGACCACTTTAAGGAAAAAAGGGGGAAAATACAATTATAAATTATAAATAGAAATAATTATAATAAATGATTTTTCAACAGAAACAATATCATTAGCATCTGCTTATGTGCAAGGGTACAGTGGTGTCTGTCTATGGCTGAACTGAAATGAATTATAATATTGATATTGAGTATCACAGAGGTGCCTCATGTCTCGTGCTGTGTAGATGTACAGTACACCAACCTAAAAGGTGGCTCATACTCTAATAGTATCTCTTTTATTGTACTTTTTGGTGTACTCTACATAAAGTGTATTCTTTAATCTACATACACCTTGAATGTTGACTGGTTACTACATGGTGTGTATGTTTCTTATAGCATTGAGCCACGAATTAGCAACAAAAAGAGTCTTATTTGTTAGAAACAATCAAAACAAAATATATATATATATATATTTGCAATATATTTGCTCATCTTGCCCATTTATTTTATGAGGCACGTAGGAAAGGGAGGACTGGATGTTATTGAGTGGACTGTACTTACGATCTGAAGGTAAGGAATGCTGACATTAAAGCTCTCATTCATATTGGCGTGCCACACAATCCGAACATTTGTGATAAAGAAGGTTCCCAGGTTTCCCTAAAAGAAAGAAAACCGACATCAGTCAAGGAAAAGGAACTCATTGTAATCTAATTATCTCCAGTAATCACATCAAATTTCAAAAGCAACCTTCTTTGTATTAGATGTGAACTCTTTAGATTCAAGTAACAATGTAATAAATGGATGAAAACCACGAGTTGCATTGATTACTAACATTTCCATGTAACTGTACTTAACACATGTGGGATATGTAATGTAACTTTCTAATGCCTCCTGGTAGGACCAGTGTGTAGGATTTAGTGGCATCTTGTGATGAAGTTTCAGATAACAAACAGCTGAATAAGCGTGTAGGAGAAACTATGGCGCCCTAATAAAAACATACCTATGAATATTAAATTGCTTTTCTGCCAATAGATCCCCCTAAATGTTACACACTGGACCTTTACGTAAACTGAAAAATGCTACATTGAAGAAAATCAGACAGCTTTCAAGCCCCAGTACCTGGTCACTGGATAAATTCCAAACTCCATTAATTTTATCATACACTTGCTCCCGGGGCAAGAGTCTGAGCTGCTTATTTTGAATGAGAGCGGCTCGCAATTTCAGGTCCCTGTACATTTTAGATGTCTCATAGGCCCTGTAAGAAAACAAAACATTATAACATGTACATTTTACATTTATGGAGAATGTGATCAGACAATTGAATGTTCCCTCTGCGTTGTTTTACCTGTGGACAGCAATGACAGAAGTAAAGAGCCGTGGACTTCCTGGAACCACATTTGTGAAAATGAACTCAAATCTTGTGTTGTTGGACTTTGTCAGGATGTAGAGTGCTTCAGTTTGGCCTCGCAATTTCTGGAGAAAAGCATTCAATTAATAAATTAGAATGGTTATTTATTACTTTAAAAGTGATTGACTTGGCAACAAAAAGACATTTATTACAAACTTTGAGACAATCAAACATTTGTTCATGTAAGAAGTGAGTATAATATTAACAGTATATGTGAT